TATTTCGTGTTATATGTCACAGTAATATAAATCGAGAATATATGAGAACGTTGTTCATCGTAACAACTACAAAAAAATAAAAAAAAGATCGAAGAATATATGCGTATTCGAGATGCTTTGATGATGATTCAATGTGCGTTTGTGTATGTGTGCTTATGTGAATACACATAGACAGAGCATCAACATCAATAACATAGGCATGCATATAAAAAGAGAACACTTATTTACACATATTTACATGACTGGGAGGCATCGAGAGGCAGGAGGAACGAGAAGGAAAACGAGAGAAAAAAAAGAATCTAAAGCGAAATATTGCCATAACTATATATCAACACTATTGTACATTTACTCTAGCTTCCTCCGCTTGTTTTTTTTCCTCCTTTTCTCTCTCCCTCTCTCTCTCTTTTTCTTTTCTCCTCCTCTTTTTTTTTTTTTTTTTGGGCAATTTTTTCATATTTATTCTCTTCTATTCTCTCGGCGTCACACTGTGATGGCGATCATTGTGAGAATGTGCGTATTTTTTTTTTCATACGTATGAGAGAAAGAAAAAAAGAAAAATAGAGCTCAGTAGTAATTAACGAAAAGAAGACAAAGAAAAAAAAATAGTCAATAGAATTACTCTTCATATACGCAGAGTATACCTACACAATTAGACTAAGAACAACATCGATTATCATCGTTGTCTGTTCAGTATATATCTATATATATGTGTGTGTGTGTATATGTATATCCGCTCATAACACTTCACTTGTAGATAAATAGACACAAGCCTTTCTTTTTTTTTCCTCGGTTCGCTTTATCTCTATCATTTCCACGGCTCATTGACAAAAAGTAGGCGACAAACGGCCAGGTAGTGTGCATACATAATATACATACCGGACCGTCATCATATTACGAAGATTCGAATGAGTGTCAGTCATTCATTATAATTGTGCGATCAACCATATTGACAAAGAAGAAGAAGAAGAAGAAGAAGAAAAAAAAAAACCGGGAACTATTACCGCTTTTCGTATTCGTTGTATTAAAATAAATGGCAGACGAAAAGGTTATTAGTAAAATCGAAACTGACACTACTGGTGATGGTGTTAATGAACTTGTTCGTATTGTTAATAATCATCTTAATCCTGTTTCTTCAAATGTAAGTTCAACACGTACATATACTCCACCATTAATGGGTACATCGGCTCGTGCTGCTAAACGTCGAATTGATAGTGATTCTGGACCAATACGTATTGAAGGTACAGATACATATAATCAACAATTACAACATCATTATCAAAATGTTCGACAAATATTAGATGATCAACAACAAGATTTAAATATATCAAATGTTGATACATCACCTGAGTCTCGACAATCTTTTAGTGCTAAACGAGATTTTTTTGAACAACGTTTTAAAACGCCACCACCTACATATGATGCTCCACCACGACAACAACAACCACAACAAATAATTACAACAATTACGACAACAACATCAGTGCCAACAACAAATATTCATGATCGTACAAGTTCTTCATCGAATGAATCACCATCAGTTGATCGCGTACTTGAACAAGCTGTAGAATTACAAAAAATGAGTAATATTAATACAATGAAAAATGATTCACAAACACCAGTTATTATAGAACGTACCGAAGAATATCAAGTATTTTTAGATTCATCAAATCATGAAATTCGTCGTACACCAAGTATTTCACGTACGTCTATTGTTAATGTAACTAAAACTGGTTATGCAACAGATCTTGATCAAGCACAAGCACAAGTTGAACGTCTTAGTGATGATCATCAAGCTATACAACATTTAACACGTATACTTCAAGAACATAATGTAACAACAATTAATGAATATAAACGTTTACCATCACAAACAAATCAAAATCTTACAGCAATATCAACAGTACCATCTGATGTTCTTAATGATCGAACTAATTTACCAATAACAAGTGAATATACTGTTATTGATGCATTAGTTAATAATCCTATAGGAACAATTGATGGTAAATATCATAATTTATTAAATAAACGTTATAATGATATTCGAACAAATTTACGAAATCCAGAATATATAAATTCATTAAAACAATCAACAACAACAAAAACAACAAAAAGTAAAGAATCAAAAAAGAAATCAAAAGAAAAAAAACCAAAAGAAAAAAAATCTAAGAAAAAATCATTATCATCATCAAAAACTGATACTATAGAACAAACAGCAGTTACATCTCCTGTCAACACTCCCGAATCATTATTAAATCAAACAACAGAACCAATTATAACAACAGCATTAGTCGAACAAATTCCATTAATTGATCCAAAAGAAAAGAAAAAACAAGATAAAGAAAATAAAAAAGCATCGAAAAAAAAATCTAAACAAAAATCAAAAAATGAAGATTATCAAGTCGTTGATGCCATTATCAGTAGTCCAATATCACTTCGTCTACCAGATTCTTATCTCGTCAAATATAATGTTAATCCATCACGATCTCTATCATCACCTCTTCAATCTAATCCATCATCAGTAACACCAAATACAGTTGTAGTAACAACAACAACGACAGCAACACCAAAAGATAATACTATTTCTGTATCAGAAAAAAATCAAACATTGTATCATCTTGTAAAAATTGTTAGTGAACTTCAAGCACATCATGCAGCTGCTTTAAAATCTGCATTAAATACTGTACCATCAAAAACGACTACAACAACAATTGGTTCAAAAGCACCAATCGTTCTAACTAAACAATCAGTACCTGTTATACATGGAATTGTTCATCAACAACCTTTATTAGAACAACAACAACAACGTCCAATTATTTCTTCTTCTCATCATGTTGAAACAAATCTACAATCTGAACCAGTTAAACCACGTGTTATTTATCGTTATATGGATGAACAAGGACATATACTTAAAATATCATCTGTACCACCATCTGAATTACGTGACCAACCAGCACAACAATATACATCTTATACTACAGAATCACCATATCTTTATGGTAGACATATTGCTACTGATGACGAACGTCGTCATCCATTACCACAATATGAACAACATGCTACATGGCAAGGTGAACCTAAATTACCAACAACTGTAACACGAGAAGATTTAGAATTACGTGATAAACGTGTACCACAATTAAGTGAACAATATATACCAAATGGACGAACAATACCTGTTTTAATTGAACATGAACGTACATTAAAACATTCTTCTCAACCACCACCTCCACAACGAACATATCATCATCCAAATCAACAAAATGTTAAATTAGCTTGGTTACCACTTTCATATCCAGCTGATCAAGCTCTACCAACTGGTACGGCTGGTTATGATACAGATTCAACAATAAGTGACCGTTCAGCAGCACATCGTGCATATGATTATGTACCAATCGATAGTCAATATCGTTATTCTAATCGACCATTTTATGAAGATTATCATTATAATCGTTCGCCAGGTGCAACCTATTATCGACAGCCACCATCAGTATATTGCAGTGGCCGTGGTATGTCACCTGAATATGGTGGTTTATCTCGTAATTATATTGAAGTATTTCGTGGTGGTGATTTTCGTGAAACAAAACCAAGTGAAATATATTCTTTACCATTAACGGAACAAATGCGAACATCACCTAATTATCCTTCAAGTGGTCGTCATTCACGTTATGATCAATATCAATCAGAAAGATATGGTACAATGTTAAATCGTAATAATACAATACCATCATCATCATCACAACAAATGCATTATTATAATTCATTACCAAAAACACGTTATCAACCTAACATTCCACCATCAACTGTACATGCATCATCTTATTATACACATCGTAGTCCTTATCATCATCGTACAGTTCAAAGTAGTCCAAATCCAGATTGTAAAAATTATGTTCGTCATTCAAAATCATTTGATTATCGTCCATTACGTACAAAACTTCAACGTGAATATAAAATTACACCTAATTTACTTGTTGATGAATGGGATTATCCACAAGCAACGGATAATATTAAATATTCAACAACAACAACAGCATCAACGACAAATCGAAGTGGTGTTTCATCACCAGATGATGTTTTTATTAGTAATCGAACAAATCAGGCATAGCCTTGAATATTATTAAAGAAGAAAGATTATACGAGAGAAAGAAATATAAAAAAACACTATACTCATTTAACTATCTTTCTTCTCTTTCTTTTATATATGCTTATATTCGTTTGTTTCGTTTTTTTTTTTTTTTTTCTTGACTTTTTTTTCTCATCTAGATTAATCGATCGTTACCGACTATTTTTAAACAGAGTAGAAATGCACTTTTCTTTTCGTAATAGGCATATACAAAACATTACTTTTTATATTATGCCGTGTTATACACATATAAATCGAGTAAACATGAGAACGAAAATGTGTAAGCGACTGTCTCATTAGAATAGTTGCCCATCTTCGATAGAATGATAGTAACAAAAGATATAGGGTATATGTATATTGTACATTACGTCGTTATCGATGAACGTGCTTACGTAATCTATCACTTGTCTCAATTCATATCAAAATAGTTGCTAGCTTATACTTAACGTTCAAGTGGATGAATATGCTTATAGTGGATATATATATATATATATCTGTTTCTTGAAATATTATATAACAATACTTTCAATGAATAAATGCATTCAACAACATCTGCCAAAGAAAAGCAGCATTATTACTTTTTTTTTCTATTGACGTATGTTTGTTTTAATTTATATAACAGAGTACTAGATTAATAATAATAACAAATGTATATGTAACAGAAATTCTCATCAGACCCGATTAAAAAAAAATTATTCATTCAGAAGTATTTCAAGATCATCAGAATAGGAGAAGTTAAACGTTTTTTTTTGGAATTACCTTCCCTCCTATTCGGAACATCTCTATATAGATTCGAAGTATGTTATTTGAAGATGAAATTAGAAATAATTTTCTTTTTTTTTTTTTAAATATTTTCATCTTGTAGAATTTAAATGGTATGTTGGTAAGTAAATAAGATAAGGGTAACTATAGATCTGTTATAACGTTTCATAGAACCATCTTTTGGTTTTAATAAAAATCGTTCTAATTCTACTATTAAATCATCATTACCATCATTTTTTGATAATAATCAGTTTCGTAAGTTTTTCTTTTTGTGTGTGTGTATAATATGTTTACTAAACTACATTAAGACAGATTTAGAAGAAAAAAAAAACAATGATGTGTTTTACTTACGAACACAAAAGTGTATATAACTTTATGATGAATCCTAGATTCATTTATTGACTAATCATTATTTTCTATAATTTATAAATAATTTATTCTATAGAAAAATCAAATGAACAACAGGATCATGATCTTTTGGAATTAAATCGACAAAAACTTCAATCGTAAGTTAATATTAATCTTTTGAATTTGTTGTTGTCATATTTCTTATATTTTTTAAGTCTAATAAATGATTCACAACCAATTTATAAAGCATTTGCTTTACATAATTTTTATCCTGAAACGAATAGGTATGATGAATAAATTTTTTGAAATAATATTTATTTGTTTGCTTTGCTTTTTTTTTTAAAGAGAATTATCATTTAAAAAAGGTGATACAATACTTGTTAAACGTCGTATTAATGATGATTGGCTTGAAGGTGAACATCAAGGTTTAACAGGAATATTTCCTATTAATCATGTTGAATTATTTCCATATGAAATAATTGAACAAGAAAATCCTAATGAAAAAGAACAACAAATAGAAGGTGAAGCTATTGTTAAATATGATTTTATACCAGAGAAAACCTATGAATTACAATTAAGAAAAGTTTGTTTATAGAATTCTAACGAAACAAAAAAAAAACCTAATTTCATAAAATTGAATTTTTTTTTTTTGTTTTAGGGTGATAAAGTTATTCTACTACGAAAATTTGATAATGACTGGTATGAAGGACGACTTAATCATGTTGAAGGTATTTTTCCTGTTGATTATGTTGAAACCATAAGAGAACCAAAGAGTAAGAATTTTATTTTAATTCAATTTTATTTAATTCAAAAATTCAAGGTAAATCATTAAAACAATCTAATCAAAATGAACATACAACAAATACTATTAAAATGCCAAAAAGTGCATTAAAAAATTCTACTCGATTACAACAAACAGCTACAGAAAAAATAAATATTCTTCCAGAATTATCAATACCAATGCAGAAGTAAGTTTAATATACAGAGTAATCGAAAAGTTGCCGAACAATCTTTGATTGCGAATAACAATAAGAGAGAGAATTACGATTTTCATCATTCAATGAAGATGGCTTAAGGGAAGTTCATTATTCCGAAATACGTGTGTTTTAATTTTGCGAAGTTACATTGCTAACAAATGATTTTTGCCCATATTAGAGAGTTGCGGGTCCTTCTGGACCCATCCGAGTCCAAAGTTTTATTTTTTTCGAGTCCGGATCCATAAAAATGTGGCCTCGTAATTCCTTAGCCCATATATATATATTTCTTTCATTTAGAAATCATTTGTTATTTAATTTATAGATGTCAAGTACTTTATGATTATACACCACAAAATTCAGATGAACTTGAAATTCATGTTGGAGATATAATTAATATTGTTGAAATATGTGATGATGGATGGTATTGTGGAATAATGGAAAAATCTAATCATGGAAATAATATGGAATTTGGAACATTTCCAGGCAATTATGTTAAATTATTACCTGTTTGAAATAAGAAAACAAAACAAAAAAAAGATAACAAGAAACAATTCTACAATGAAAATGTTTTCTCAAAATAGTGATCTGCAATGTGCTGAAACTTTTGTTTTATTTATTTATTTTTTCTTCTGCATTGACAGCAATATTTCTCTTCTCTTTTTTTTTTTTTCTTATTGTATATCTCTAGTCGATATATATATATATATATTGAAATCTATTAAGAAATAGAAGATTATGTTATCTAAAATTAATTGAATATAATAATAATTCTTAATAATGAATAAACAAAGAAAATTATCAATATTACGAAATTTAATAAATTAAAAAAAAAAGAATATTTTCTTGAATTTGACAAAAAAGTGATAATCTACCATATAGAACAATTTTATCTGCTATTTTATTTAAAATCTAAAGAAAAACTCGTAAAATTCGATGATTATGAATTTATTATTTTGTAAAAAGAAGAATATCGTAGTGAAATATCAACAATGCATTTCGAATCCTTTTTTTGTTATTGAAAATAATCTATTAGGAGTTTCCTGTGATGCCTAAAAAAAGCTGTTCTCACTCATGCTTTGCGTATGTCTTCTTGATTAGCGGAAAATTATGTTTGCAAGGCAGAATCAGAATTGGAAAAGGCGCAAATTGAAAAATACCCGCAAACCAGAATCAATTGAAAGAGACAAACCTTTCTGCATTATGCAAACAAGCATAAATAGATATAACTCGATTTAATACAAGGATATCACTTCCCTTCAAGGTTGTCTAGTGTTAGAAATTACATATCTTACAGATCATTTTTTTAACATGTAGTCTTATTGAAAGTGTCGAAGATAAACCAAATAGAAATGTCGATCGTGAGTTGTGGTAGTTTGTCTATAATTATCACACATCATCGAGTAATGATGAAATAATAGTTAAAATTATTATGAACGAAAATGAGAAAAATAAGAGAGGGACTGAAATTTGATGAGTATATGGGTAGAGAGAACAATCTCAGTGTTCTTTTTTATTAGCGATCTATCAATGTATTTTGATATAATTTAAAAGACTGATCTTGATTATGAACCTAATGTAAGTTAAATATTCAATTAATTTTCATTAATAATTTTTCTGTATTGATTTTACATAAGAAACCTTCTCTTGATTTTACAATAAAGACATTTTCGATCATTTTTCACTAAGGGTAATCCCCACCTCTTATCTTTTTTGACTATTTCTACCTGTCGAAGAGGTTACAACCAATCAGGTTGACATTTTTACCACGAATCCAGCATCTCAAATAAGGAAACACGTGTTCGAAGAGAAATTTTTCAAAGAGACTTCTACAGAAAACCCTAGTTTTTGTAAGGCCGTATCCTCCAACATGTATTTGCTTATTTTAGATGTTCTGCCTGTAGGAAAAATTTCAGTCTGATCGATTTCATCCTTGTCAAGAATCAAAAATGGTCGTATCCTTAATCCGCCAAAAAGTGTCCGCAATCAGGATGCAGCCGTCTTGTGTTGATTTCTTTCGAGAAAGAAATAGATCTTCTCTCAATGCTTCTATTGAAAAGTGAAAATATCATAATGAAGAAATCTGTAATTTATATGGTCGAATAATGATAAATCGGATTTTCTTTCTTCCTATGAATGGACATGGTTCAATTCCTATTAATTTCACTTTGATGATAAAAACAGTATTTGTTCATGTAACGATTCAATTATCTAAGCGAAATTGAACTGTAAAATTCAGCGAAACAAATATGACTATCTTATATGAGCAATGTCGATAGCATACAAAATTGTAATTTTTATCTATATTACATTATATATCGTAGAGAAAAAATTT